GTAGCCGGGTTGGCAGAATGGGTAGGAGGAGGAGTGAGCAGGGAGCAGCCAGGGGACAGAGCTGTCCCAGAGGCCAGGGGAGGAAAGTGCTTCAAGGAGAGAGTGATCAATGCACCAAATGCAACTGACAAGCCAAGGGAGGCTGAGCCTTAACTAATGCATTGGCTACACAAGGTCACTGGCAACAATGCCGCGGGCTGCTTTGGTGAGGTGGCAGATGAGAAGCCCTGCCTAGAGGAAATGAAAGGAGAAGTGGTAGGGACAGCCACCTTAGACAATTCCATGACAGAATTTTCAGAAAAGAGAATTAGAGAAAAAGGGCAGTATTTGAAGGGGAAGCCACATCAAAGAGAGTTTTTGCAAATGGAAGAAGTTGCAGCAAGCTTGCATCTGATGCAAACAGTCCAGGGGAGAGGGGAAATTTACAATGCAGAAGGGAAAGGCGAGGGCCGTAGGAGCAGTGGGTCCCCCAGAGAGAGGAGAGGGAGCGGCCCACATTCAGCCCTCTGATACGACAGGAAATAAGGGCAGATTCAAATGCCTCTGGGAAATTCTGAGGAGTCTACACGTTGGACCAACTTCCTCGTGAAGTCTGCTTTGTAACAGCAGCTCGTATTCTGAGGATCACCCAAGGGTACAAGTTAAATCAATGACATGGAATTTCAGAGGAAAAGAAAATGGTAAGCAAACAAAAAATCTGGACCCTTACCCTACTTTCTCAAGGGCAGTTCTACAATTATCTAGCAATGTAAAAGTCTGGACCTACAATCAGTCAATGAGCCTGAACTGATCTTTCACAGATTGTGCATTGAAAGATGATAAGCAATAGGTAATTGTATCTTTTAATATATTAAATTTGTTAAGCTACTGGATTTTTTTATTTTATGGGCTTGAACATCAGCTTATGCCAAAATAGTTAACGTGTCTGTGTTTTGCTTCATTCCAGGTGCAGGGCAGAAGCTGTGTTTGCAAAACATCTCCTGTTTCATGAGCTTACAAAGCTGTTCACAGACGGTAGAGTAGTGGCTGCCTAGGCCTGGGGTAAGAATGGGGTGTGAATGCAACCCGACAAGGGGTTTCTTTGGGGGATGATGGGAATGTTCTAAAATTAGATTGTATAGTGTATTTACAACTCTTTAAATATTCTAAAAAAACCAGTGTATTGTACACTTAAAACAGGTAAATGTTACAGTATATAAATTATATTTCAAAACTGTTGTAAAAAAATTACTTGGCCGGACACAGTGGCTCACACCTGTAATTCTAGCACTCTGGGAGGCCGAGGCAGGAGGATCACTTGAACTCAGGTGTTTGAGACCAGCCTGAGCAAGAGCGATTCCCTGTCTCTACTAAAAATACAAAAATTAGCTGGGCATCGTGGTACGCACTGGTAGTCCCAGCTACTCTGGAGGCTGAGACAGGAGGATCACTTGAGCCTAGGGGTTTGAGGTTGCAGTGAGCTACGATGATGCCACTGCACTCTACCCAGGGTGACAGAGTGAGAGTCTGTCTTGAAAAAAATAATAATAATTACTTGAGGGGCAGGAGTTCAAGACCAGCCTGGGCAACATAGCAGACCCTGTCTCTAAAAATAATGAGAAAAATTAGCATG